ACAGGAGACAAAGTCTTGTCATCCACATTTTCAAGGAGCATTCTGGCCATACTTCTTTGAAGACAGATTTGTTTGTCCTGCTGACAGTTCATGATATATTCAATATTCTTCACCAATACCAGAATTCAAAGGAATCAATTCTTCCTTATTTATTGTCCATCTTTCACATGGATACTAGGCAATTAAAAACATCAAGGCCCACCTCAATCTTCAAAGTGACATCTTTGTTCTTTAACACTTTAAAGAGGTCTTTTGCAGCAGATTTGCCCAGTGCAATATGTCTGATTTCTGGACTGTTTCTTCCATGAGTGTTGATTGTGGATGTAAGTAAAACAAAATCCCTGACAACTTCATTTTTTTCCTCTATTTATCATGATGTTTCTTATTGGTCCAGTTGTGAGTACTTTTGTTTTCTTTATGTTCGTGTATAATCCATACTGAAGGTTTTAGTCTTTCATTTTCATCACTAAATGCTTCAAGTTTTTTTCACATTTAGCAAGCAAGGTTGTGTCATCTGCATATCACAGGTTGTTAATGACTCTTCCTCCAATCCTGATGCTGCATTCTTCTTTATGTAGTCCACCTTCTTGTATTATTTGCTCAGCATAAAGATTGAATAAGTATGGTTTAGGGATACAACCCTGGCACACACCTTTCCTGATTGTAAGCCACACATTATCCCCTTGTTCTGTTCAAATGACTGCTTTTAGTCTAAGTACAGGTCCTGTATGTACACAATTAAATGTTCTGGAATTCCCCATTCTTTGAAATATTATCCATAATTAGTTATGATCCACACAGTTGAATGTCTTTTTGTAGTCAATGAACACAGGTACACATCTTCCTGATATTCCCTTCTTTTAGTTAAGATCCATCTGATATCAACAATGATTTCCCTCATTCCATGTCCTCTTCTGAATCCAGCTTGATTTTCTAGTAGTACCCTGTTGATGTATTTCTGTAACCACTTTTTAATTATTTTAAGCAAAATTTAATTGTTTGTGATATAATGATATTGTTAGATAATTTCTGCATTCTCTTGGAAAACCTTTCTTTGCAATGGGCAGAAATATAGATCTCTTCCAATTGGTTGTCCAGGTAGCTATCTTCCAAATTTCTTAGTATAGAGGATGGAGTACTTCAAGTGTTGCATCTATTTGTTGAAACATCTTAATTGGTATTCTATCAGTGCCTGGAGCCTTGTTTTTCATCAGCGTGTTCAGTGAAGCTTGGACTTCTTTCTTCAATACCATTGATTCTACATCGTATGTTACCTCCTGTGGTTGAACTTCAACCAATTCTTTTTGATACAGTGACTTTGTGTATTTCTTCCATCTTCTTTTGATGCTTCCTGTGCCCATAGAACTTTTTCTTCAGTTCTTTGAGCTTGAGAAGTGCTAAGCATTTTCTTCCTTTTTCTAACTCCAGGTCTTTGCACATTTCCTTATAATACTTTGTTTTATCAAGCTGCCCTTTGAAATCTTCTGTACAGCTCTTTTATTTCATCATTTCTTCCATTTGCTTTAGCTTCTCTCCATTCAAGAGAAAGTTTCAGAATCTCTTCTGACATCCATTTGGTCTTTTCTTCCTTTCCTGTATGATCTTTTGCTTTCTTCATGTATGAATGTCCTTGATGTAATCCCACAACTTGTCAGGTCTTTGGTCATTAGTGTTCAGTGAATTAAATCTATTCTAGAGATGGTCTCTAAATCCAGGTGGGACTTTTTCAAGGTTATTTTTGCTCTTTTGAACTTGTTTTAATTTTCTTCAGCTTCAGCTTGAACTTACATATGAACAATTGATGGTGTGTGTTTTCCACACTCAACCCTTGGCCTTGTTCTGACAGATGATATTGAGCCTTTCCATCGTAGAATATATGTAATTGACTTGAGTCCTGTGTACTCCATCTGGCAAGGTGCATGTGTATAGCCCCTGCTTTGGTTTTATGTTGTCACCAAAGGCTATTTCCAATGAATAGGTTGTTGGTCTTGCAAAATTATATCATGCAGTCTCCAATGCTTTTTTCTATGACCAAGGGCTTAGTTTCCAACAACTTATCCTTCTTCTTTGTTTCTAACTTTCACATTCCGATCACTAGTAATTACCAATGGATCTTGATTGCATTGATAATTACTAGTGATTGGTTTGATCAATTTCAAACTGCAAAAGTTGGTAAAAATCTTCATTTTCTTCTTCTTTGGCATTAGTGGTTGTTGTATAAATTTTAATAATAGTTGTGTTAACTGGTCTTTCTTGTAGGTGTATGGATAATATCCTATCACTGACAGCATTGTGCTTCAGCATAGATCTTGAAATTTTCTTAATGCCAATTAATGCTATGTCATTCCTCTTCAATTTGTCATTCCTAGATAAGTAAACCATAGAACTGTGTGACTCAAAATGGCCAATATCAGTCCATTTCAGCTCACTAATGTGAGGATAAAGAGCTCTGGTGGCTTAGTACCTAAGGCATTTTACTGCTAACCAGAAGGCTGGTGGTTCAAACCCATCAGGCACTCCTTGGAAGGAAGATTAGGCAATCTACTTCTGTAGTGATACCTCCTTGGAAACCCAAGGAGAGGTCGCTATGAGTTGGATCTGACTTGACAGCAGTGAGTTTGGTTTTTTTTTTTTTTTTTTGGTTGATGTGAGGATATAGATCTTTTTGTATTCCATTTAATTTGTGACAACTTCTAATTTTCCTAGATTCATACTTTGTATATCAACATTATGATTAGTAATGGAAATTTGCAGCTGTTTCTTCTCATTTTGAGTTATGCCATATCAGCAAATGATGTCCTTAAAGTTTATTCCACCCACATTATTAAGGTTGACTTTACTTTGAGGAGGCAATTCTTCCCTGGTCTTATTTTGAGTGCCTTTCAACCTGAGAGACTCATCTTCCAGTGTTATATTAGATGGTCCTGTTGCTATTCATAAGGTTTTCACTGGTCAATTTTTTTAGAAGTAGATCCTAGGTTCTTATTCCTAGTCTGTCTTAGTGTGAAGCTCCACTGAAACCTGTCCATTGCGGATGACTCTGCTTGTATTTGAAATACCAATGACGTAGCTTCCAGCATCACAGCAACACACAGGACACCAGTATGACAAACTGGCAGAAAAGTCGTGGAAATGTTTACCTGTGTTTTATTGACTATGCAAAGGTATCTGTTTGTGTGAATCATAACAAATTATGGATAACATTACAAAGAATGAGAATTCCAGAACACTTAATTTTGGTCATTCAGAACTGTACATAGACCAAGAGGCAGGTTTTTTTTTTTTTTTTTTTTTTTAACAGAACAAAGGGATAGTACGTTGTTTGCAATCAGGAAATGTCTGCATCAGGGCTATAGCCTTTCATCATACTTCTTCAATCTATATGCTGGGCATATAATCCTAGAAGCTGGACTAAATGAAGAAGAACACTGCATTAGGTTTGGAGGAAGACTCGTTAACAACCTGTGGTATGTAGACTATGCAGATGACATCTTGCTTGTTGAGAGTTAAGAGAATTTGAAACACTTACTGATGAAGATTAAAGATGACAGCCTTCTGTATGGATTAAGCATCAACATAAAGCAAACAAAAATCCCCCTACGTGGACCAATAAGCAATATCATGATAAACAAAGACTGAAGTTATCAGGGATTTCATTTTCCTTGGGTAAGTCAAACCCCCAGGGAAGCAGCAGTCAAAAAATCAAATGACATATTGCATTGGGCAAATCCACTGCAAAAGACCTCTTTGAAGTGTTAAAAAGCAAAGATGTTATTTTGAGGACTAAAGTGACCTTGCCCAAGCCACAGTAGTTTCAGTCTCCTGATATGCATGCGAAAGCTGGACAATGAATAAGAAGACTAAAGAGGAATGATATCTTTGAATTATAGTATTGGTGAAGAATATTAAATATACCATGAATTGCCAGAAAAATAAATAAATCTCTCTTGGAAGTATAGCCCAAATGCTCCTTGAAACTGAGGATGATGAGACTTTGTCTCATGTACTTTGGGCCTGTTATCAGGATAGACCAGTCCTTGGAGGAGGACATCAGACTTGACAAAGTAAAGAGTCTACAAAAAAGAGGTAGATCCTCAGTGAGATAGACTGGCATAGTGGCTGCAACAATGGACTCAAACATGGCATTGTGAGGGTTGCACAGGACCAGGCACTGTTTCGTTTTGTTGTACATAGATAGGGTTGCTATGAGTTGGAACTGACTTCATGACAACTGACACCAATAACAGTCTACGAGAGCAGATCTCCAGGTCTTTCTTCTATGGTGCAGCTGGTGAGTACAAACCTCTGGCCTTTTGGTTAGCAGCAAACACATAACCACTGTGCCGCTATGGCTCCTTTCATCTAGTATATTTGTTTTTAAATGCTTTTGACAAATGCCACCTAGGATGCCCCTCCAGTCTTGAGAAAGTTTTGAGATGGGTTGAACAGTCCCTCAGTGGTCAGCACAGAGGTCAAAATACAGAATCATTCCTTGAGAACAAGAATCCATATGGTCCCCTCTGGTAACAGCAAGCCACATAACTAGAAAAGATATCACATTAATTTAAGGGGACAGAAATGACTCTGAAGAACAATCATGGGAGAAGGAAGGGCTGCTTATGCACAGGGAGATAACTCAGGGTGCAGAAGAGTATGAAGGGATGGACACTGGGAGGAGGTAACTATGGGGAGGAAGTGGGAGGGGAGCTGCTGCATTGTAAATTTTGGTAAATGACATGAGACAAAGTATATGTGAACTGCTGTATGAAAAGTGAATTCACTCTGTAAATCTTCACCCAAATCCTAATAATAATAAAAAAAAAGAAATGACTCTGAAGGTAAATGAAGATGTTATCAAGACTGTGTTTAGTCACTGGAGGCTTGAAAGCAGTCGTACAATCTTTATACAGCTTAATGTATGTTATATTTCTAGGATTTGGATCCATATCAAGATGTGGTGAAGAAGAGCAACAATCCTTTGGGATACCTGTTGCAACATCATGACTGAAGACAAAGAACCTATTGTCAGAAACGTTCATCTTGTTTATGTCATGGCCTTAGTAGTTGGAACCATAATCCAGTTCTCTGATGAAATTGAGTTTTCAGTCGACATGTCAAAAACAGGCCTTACTCAGGTTCCAAAAGACCTACCACCAAAAACCAAAGTCTTAGATATGTCTCAAAACGATATATCTGAACTTTACATGTCTAACATTAGCTTCCTAACAGGGCTGAAAGTTTTGATACTTTCCCATAATAGAATCCAGCATCTTGATTTTAGTGTTTTTGAGTTCAACCAGGATTTGGAATATTTGGATTTATCTCACAATCAGTTGTGGAAGGTGTCCTGCTACCCTGTTGCAAATCTCAAGCATTTAGACCTCTCATTCAATGACTTCGATGCTCTGCCCATCTGTAAGGAATTTGGCAACTTGATGCAGCTGAATTTCTTGGGACTAAGTGCTAAAAAGTTGCAACAATTAGATCTGCTACCTATTGCTCACTTGCATCTAAGTTACATCCTTCTGGATTTAGAAGGCTATTATGTGAAAGAAAATGAAATAGAAAGTCTTCAAATTCCAAATACAAAGAAACTTCATCTTGTTTTTCATCCAAATCATTTATTCTCTGTCCAAGTGAATATATCAGTTAACACTTTAGAGTTTTTAGAACTTAGTAACATTAAATTAAATGATGAAAACTGTCAAGTGTTAATCAACATTTTATCAGAACTCACCCGAGGTCCAAACTTACTAAATTTTACCTTGAACCATGTGGAAACAACTTGGAAATGTTTGGTTATCATTTTTCAATTCCTTTGGCCCAGACCTGTAGAATATCTCAGTATTTACAATTTAACAATAATTGAAGACATTAGGGAAGAAAAATTTATGTATTCTAAAACTGCATTGAAAGCATTGAAAATAGAGCATGTTACAAATAGAGTTTTTATTTTTTCAAAGAATGCATTATATAGAGTGTTTTCGGAGATGAACATTATGATGTTAACCATATCAGATACACGTTTTATACACATGCTCTGTCCTGAGAAACAAAGCACATTTAAGTTCTTAAACTTTACTCAGAATGTTTTCACAGATAGTATTTTTGAAAATTGTTTCACTTTAGCTAGATTGGAGACACTTATCTTACAAAAGAATGGATTAAAAGACCTCTTCAAAGTAAGTCTCATGACAAAGGATATGCCATCTTTGGAAATATTGGATATTAGCTGGAATTCTTTGGAATTCAATAGTCACGAGGAAAATTGTACTTGGGTTGAAAGTATAGTAGTGTTAAATCTGTCTACAAATATGCTTACTGAGTCTGTTTTCAGATGTCTACCTCTCAGGGTCACAGTCCTTGATCTACACAGTAACAGAATAAAAAGCATTCCTAAACAGATAGAAAAACTAGAAGCTTTGCAAGAACTAAATGTTGCTTTCAATTATTTAACTGACCTTCCTGGATGTGGAACATTTACCAGACTTTCTGTATTGGTCATTGACCATAATTCAATTTCCCTCCCATCATCTGATTTCTTCTCCAGTTGCCAGAGCGTTAGGTCAATGAAAGCAGGGAACAATCCATTCCAATGTTCATGTAAACTAAGAGATTTTATCAAAAATATAGGTCAAGTATCAAGTGAAGTTGTAGAGGACTGGCCTGAGTCTTTTGAGTGTGCCTACCCAGAAAGCTATAGGGGAACCCCATTACAGGATTTTCACATATCTCAATTATCCTGCAATACAACTCTGCTGATTGTCACCATTGGGGTCACCATGCTGGTGTTGGTTGTTACTATGATCTTCATCTGTGTCTACTTAGATCTGCCCTGGTATCTCAGGATGGTGTGTCAGTGGACCCGGACCCGGCACAGGGCTAGGAACATACCCATAGAGAAACTCCAAAAAACATTCAAGTTCCATGCTTTTATTTCATACAGTGAGCATGATTCTGACTGGGTAAAGAATGAATTACTACCAAATCTAGAAAAAGATGACATACAGATTTGCCTCCATGAGAGAAACTTTGTAGCTGGCAAAAGCATCATTGAAAATATCATAAACTGCATTGAGAAAAGTTATAAGTCCATCTTTGTTTTATCTCCCAACTTTGTCCAGAGTGAATGGTGCCATTATGAACTCTACTTTGCCCACCACAAACTCTTTCTTGATGGGTCTGATAACTTAATCCTGATCTTGCTGGAACCTATTTCACGAAACAGCATTCCTGGTAAGTATCACAAGCTGAAGGCTCTCATGGCACAGCGGACTTACTTGGAATGGCCCACTGAAAAAAGCAAACGTGCACTTTTTTGGGCCAACATTAGAGCTGCTTTTAATGTGGAATTAACACTGGTCCCTGAAAATAATGATGTGGAAACTTAAAAGGAAAAAGTCAGGAAATCCATCTTAACTTAAGAAATCATCATTAACTTGAATTCTGATGGACATTCTGTTTTTAAGTTACTGTCTGGATGGTATTTCTATCACCGTCATGCCTGCAGGAGAGATTTAATGAAAACTGTGCCTCAGCTGTGTAGAGAATTGAGCTACTGGGTGAGGTAGTCCTCAAACTTCCTGATTAGAGAAGCTCAATCTCTTCTGGTTTAAAGCTTCTTTCACATTGAAACAATCTCTTCTGAATAAATTTTGTAATCCAAGTAAATTTCTCTTCCTTTCTCCTTTCCCAAATGGATTGTGTGTTAATGCAGGAGTTGATGTAACTTCTTGGCACCAAAGAAAGAATCAACCTCACAACTGTGTGCACAGAACCTTGTAGTGTCCTCTGGATCCTCACTGGCCTCTCTGTGAACTTTATCATCCCGTCCAACTTTGAGATCTGGGGGAAAACTTCAATCAGGTATAAAAACCAAAAAACCAAACTCACTGCCGTCGAGTCGGATCCGACTGATAGCGACCCCTCTTTGGGTTTCCAAGGCGATATCACTATGGAAGTAGATTGCCCAATCTTCCTTCTGAGGAGTGGCTGGTGGATTTGAACCACCAGACTTCTGGTTACCAGTTGAATGCCTTAGGCACTACACCACCAGAGTCAATCAGTTATATAAAATAAAATACTTTTTCATATATTTGAGTAAAAGTTTATTACATTTTGAATTCTGCTACACTAAATAGCCAGTGGGAGTAGGCACTGAGGCCAAATTCATTAGATTTACCTGATTGCTAAAGGAAATCAAAGCTAACTTTATTTGTAACCAGATATTGAATGGAACTTTTCTCTTTGTCTTAGAATTTTGGCTAAAGCCTCAAAGCTGACAAAAGGGAGTAAATGTCCCCACATTTTAAACAGTGAGACTAGACACAGCCATGTGAGACTTATTAAAAGATAGCAGAAAAGGTTCTGCAACCATCAATTCATCTCTAGCCCTTATGAGAGAAGATGATATTCAAAAGGTGATTAGAGAGTCTTTGAGTGTGTGTTCTAGACACATGGGGAGATAGCTTTGGATTTCTCCCAAAGGCAAGTGAGGGGAACTCTAAGCTAGTAATAAGATATTTCACTCCAGACTGAAAGCTTGAAGAGTACCAGCAATGAGCAGATCCAGTGCAGCAGGTAGGGAATGAAGTTCTTGGAAGAACTTGATGAATGTCCTGAGTTTGGGATATGGTGGGCATTGTGGACATAAAACCCTTTGCTGTTGAGTTGATGCTGACTCATTGCAAACCTAGTAAATAATGCCTGGAAAATATAAAGCTTGGTATATATTTATTGAATGAACGGATGTGAACTTCCCACCTGGAGAATTCGGAAGGCAAGAGGTTGGTTTGGGCAGCCCAAAATGAGAGATGAGGAAAGAAGGGAAACAGAGATTACAGCCTGCACTTTTACCACTTGACATAGCAAAAATACATGAATTTCCTGTGGGGCATCTTGACCATGGGGAAGACAGCTGGGCTTGAGTTGTCATTGTGGGACATGTCCAACAGGGAAGTCTGTTGTACAAAGATAGGATAGCAGCAGTGTGAGGCCCCAGGGCTGGGAGAAGAGGTGTGTAAGTGTGTGGGGTGCTGCAAAAGGTCTACTAGAAAGTGTGCCACTTGCATCAAGGAAGTGTGCAGTGTGGAAAATGGAGGAAAAGTAAAGCAATGGCGGTAGTTAAGGTTATGTGTCAACTTGGCTGGGCCTGGTTTAGAGTAGCTGGGCAGCTGGATGTAGTTATTCCCCAGGGTAAGATTGGTAATCACTCCATGGTGGAATCTACTGGAGCAGCTGAGTAGCTGCTTGAGGGATGTGGGCTGCTTCCAGTATACAAGGAGAAGCTTTGGGAATGGTCTGCAGCTTTTGGCATGCTTGAACCCTGCATGTAGCCAAGTCTTCTGGTTTAAAGCCTGCCATGCTTCGCCAGTCTTGGGACTCTTGATGGACTTGAATCAATGGCCTGCTGTGTGGCTTGGTAATAATGGGACTGTGCATTTTTACTTGTTGACCTTGGACTTGTTAGCCTGAGCAGCCAGCAGCTGCCTGAGTGAAGAGACACCTCTAGCTTCAGTGAGCTGGGAGCAAGAGGCAGAGCTGAAGCCCAAGGTCGAGGGGCTTTTACCCAGCCCCTAGAGCATAGCACTGTGAACGCAGACTTCCAGCCTCCAAAAATGTAAAAGAGTAAACTCCTGTTTGTTAAAGCCTTCTTATTTGTGGTATATTTTCTGTTAGACCAGCACTAGGTAACTGACTATACTCCTCCCTTCTTCATTAGAAATAAATAGAAATAAACAAATCTACATTTTTATAACAGACATGTGAAAGCTCAACCATAAGAGTTCTATTTCATTTTTAGGTAAACTTTTTTTTTTTTTTTTTTATCTCCTGGAGTCCAATTTCATCTATGGGATTCTTCTGGTTATAAGTAGTAGAGTTTTCTTTTTTTTTTTTTGAGAAAACTCACCCACTGCCATCGAGTCAGTTTTGACTCATAGTGACCCCCCACTGGGTTCCCAATATGGTAAAATCTTTATGGAAATAGATTGCCCATCTTCCTACCATTGAGCAGCTGGTGGGTTTGAACCACTAACCTTCTGGTTAGCAGTCAAATGGCTTAGGCACTACGCCACCAGAGCTCCTTCTCAAACTTCTTGAGAAAAGGAGGACTTTAATTTAAAGGATTCTGAGGTATCTTCCAGAACCCAAAAGCAGGGACACAGCTGAGCTCCAAGAAATTTTGGAAGCAGGGATGGTAAACTACCCAAACTCTCTTTGCATCAGTATCTCTCCAGCCTGGAGCAATCAGCTGTGGTGGGGATAAGGGTTGGGAGAGTGAAGGAGGGGGGTTGCACAAGCATCAGTGCTGAGAGCCTGCCCCATGATCATTACTGAAAAGGATAGTGATCAGATAAAATTAAAAGTGTTGTGGCAGAGATTATTAATTGTCCATCAATATCCACTCTCCCCTTATTTAATACTGGACACACACAAACACACTGCTGTCGAGTTGGACTCTACTCATAGTGACCCATCCTTAGGTTTCTGGGGCAGTGTCACTGTGGAAGTAGATTGCAGAACCTCCCTTCTGAGGAGTGGCTGGGGAGTTTGAACCACCAGCCTTCTGGTTAGCAGTCAAATGCCTTAGGCACTACACCACCAGAGCTCCCTTATGCCTGGGTTTATCAGAGTACTTGACAAACCATCTAGAGATTACATGTAGTAGTTAAGGTTATGTGTCAACTTGGCCGGGCCTGGTTCTGATTGGCTGGGCAGCTGGTTGCAGTTATTCTCCATGATGAGACTGGCAATCAGCTCCACGGTGGAATCTGCCATGAGCAGCTGAGTATCTGCTTTAGGGATGTAGTCTGCTTCCTGTGTGTAAGGAGAAGCTTTGGGAATGGTGTCTAGCTTTAGGCACGCTTGACTCCTGCATGTAGCCAAGTCATCGTTCAGCAGCCTGCCATGTTGTCTACTGATCTTGGAACTGTTAATGGACTTGAATTAATGGCCTGCCATGTTGTTTTGTAATATTGGGATTGTGCATTTTTACTTGTTGACCTTGGGTTTATCAGCTTCAGCAGCCAGCAGCTACCTGAGTGAAGAAAACCTCCAACTTCAGTGGGCCAGGAGCAAGAGGCAGAGCTGAAGCCCAAGGTCGAGGGAATTTCACCTATCTTCTAGAGCTCAGCACTTTGAACTCAGACTTCTAGCCTCCCAAACTGTAAGAGAATAAACTCATGTTTGTTAAAGTCATTCACCTGTAGTATTTTTCTGTTATAGCAGCATTAGGTAACCAAAACACTACATTTCCCAGCCTCTCTTGCAGCTTGATGTGGACATGTGACTAAATTCTGGGCAATAGGATGTAACAGGAACCTATGTTCCACTTTAGGAGCTCTGGTGGCATAGTGCCTAAGGCATTTGACTGCTAACCAGAAGGCTGGTGGTTCAAACCCACCATCCACTCCTCAGAAGGAAGATGGGACAATCTACTTTGGTAGTGATACCACCTTGGAAACCCAAGGAGGGGTTGCTATGAGTCAGATCCGATGTGACAGCAGTGAATTTGTTTTTTTTTCTTTTTTTAATGTGCCACTTTGGGATCATGTCCCTAAGAAAGATGAGCATGGATTCCCTTGTCCCTTCTACCTTTCCACTAGCTGAGAGATAAGAAGTAGAGGAGCCATCTAGAACTCAGAGATGGAAGACACACGTGAAGGACACATTCTCCATTCTCTCATTTTGGGTCACACAAGCCAGTATTTCAACATACCCTGAATTGCTCCTTCCATTATGTGAGATACAAATAAACTTGTTAAATAAATATATATACCTCAGTGTCTTAAGATATACACTTACTCTTCACTTATCAACATGGTTAGGTTCCAAAGACCAGGTTGTTATCTGAAAATTGACATTATGTGAAAATGGAGGATGACTACATCTTTACATAACTGCCAAATCACATCATTATGTAACTATCAAACCACTGAGAATCATGGGCCAACCAAGTTGACACATAATCTTAACCATCACAGCCAGTAGTACTCTCATCTCCCACCTTGGCATTCTTTACTGCCAGATATATGCTGTTAATGTGAAAAATAGTTGGATAGTGGATTTTTTGCTATTGTC